AATGATGTAGCTTTATGTGGTAATATTATATTGCTCTGCCATTTTGTTTAGTCTTAATTTTCTTAATTTAATTGATCCTAAAGTTTTACAGCAAGATGTCTGCAAAGCACTTATGAACTTCGCATTTGAAACATTATTTAAGGCTGTTTGAAGTAGTGCAATACACCATCTCCACCAGTGAGAGGCAGCAGTGCACGAACAGGCGTGCAGTGTGTGGGTGAAGAAGAAATCTTCCAACTTGTGGGGCCCATAGACATCATTTATATCTATGGTGGGGCCAACCTAACACGAGTTATAACGGCCAGACCTCCAGAAGCCAAAGTATGTCACCTAATACATATGAGGTATGTGTCTTATTAACTTTACATTTTCTTTGATAAAATAACATTGACTATGTTCTCGTTCTTTGTAATGTTAGCTGTGAGCAATTCAAGCCAATCCTACCTTGCTGTAAGTTAATGTTAGCTAAAGTTATTAAACTCCATAACTGTAATGTTAGCTCTTAATCTTAAACATATCTTAAAGGCAGGCAAATAGTTTTTTCCCTCCAATTTTAATCTAGCAAATTAAAAGCTAATATGTTAGTCAAAGTTATCCTTCATGTGTATTATTTAGCAACTTGGCTGATGCAACCAGTGCTTGTGTTCTTTGCTTTGGGAACTTTAGCTACATGAAGAACAATTTGATCCTAATGACACATGTTGAGGAGAGGGGGGTGTCAGGGGAACAAATGAAAACATACTACAGGTGTGGAGGATGATAATAAGGACCAGCCACTAGAGAAAGAAGTCCCTGTTTGACCAAAGAGAAAGAAGCAGATGAAATATTCCCCAAGAAATTTAGGTAAGTCATTTTTGTGTTACTATTTTCTCCAGGTGAAGGGCGGTGGGCGGGGACAGGTAACTGGGGAAGGGGAAGAAGGAATCAATGTCCACCAGCTGAGTTAATAAGTTACATTTTAGACAACTAATTGTTGTCAAATGTAAAACTGGTGTTTAATCTATTTGTTTATTAATAAACTT